CATCAAATTGAAATTTTTTCATTTTTCCTACTGATTTGTCACGTCGATCAAATTTTGCTTGTTTTTTTTTTTTACTGAATTGGCTATAAATTCGCTTCTCAAAACCATTGAGTAACCAATTCATTCTAATTTCATATTCCCAGTCACTATAATTTTAGGTCCAATTTTTTTCTTCAACAATTAGTGTATTTCAGTGAGATATTTACTTGCATTGGATTTATCGTGGTGTATTATCTATTTTAAAAGTGAGTACAATAATTTTTTTTGTCATATTCGTAATGAAATGTGATTTTGTACGCATTTAATTTTTTTTTCCATGTTGTAGAAATGGAAGGAGATGATAATGTATTCGTACCACAAGTTCACGTAGGCGCGATTCCACAAATTGGGCAAGAGTTTGAAACATTAGACGATGTATACAACTTTTACAATGAGCATGCAAAATTAGCTGGGTTCAGTGCACGCATCAGTAGTAGTCGAAAGAACGCACAAACGAACTAAGTTGTCTGGAAATCATATGTTTGTTTCAAACAAGGCCAGAAAGATGAAACCTACCAAATGAAATTTAAAAATTTGGTGGCCCGTTCAGGAGAAAGAAATCGTGGTGACTCCCGATGTGGCTGCACCGCCAAGTTAACAGTTGTAAAAAAACAGACACTAAATTCTTGGGTTGTCAGCCATTTTTCCGAAGCACATAATCACTCACTATCCACACCGAGCAAGGTTCACCTGCTACGATCGCATCGTGAAGTTTCAGTTACGAAAAAAGCGCTTGCAGAGCAATTTTCACTGGCAAATATTCCTACTTGCCAACAAATCAGACTTATGGAGATAGATGCTGGTGGTCCATCTTCGATTGGTTGCTCTGAGCAGGATATTAGGAACCACCAAAGAGACCTTCGAAGGGAATACATTGGACATGATGCAGAAACATTGATAGAATACTTCGAGCTGGAGAAAAGAAAGAACCCGAGCTTCTACTATGCATACGAGACTGATGAGGATGGAGTGTTTGCTCGCTGTTTTTGGGCTGATTCCGATTCCAGGAGCTCATATGTCTACTTCGGAGACGCTATCGTGTTTGACACGACCTACAATACCAACAAGTACTCGATGGTGTTCGCACCATTTATTGGTGTCAACCATCATCGTCAAACTATTGTATTTGGATGTGGCTTACTGAGCGATGAGAAAACTGATTCTTTCATATGGTTGTTCTCAAAGTTTCTAGAAGCCATGCCAACACAACGGCGTCCTGGCGTGATTATCACTGATCAAGATGGTGCCATTTCGAGAGCGGTTGGCCAGGTATTCCCCGACGCACTGCATAGATTATGTTTATGGCACATATTGAATAAATTCCCAGAGAAGATGGGTCCCGTACTTTATAAGGAAATGTACCATAATCTGGTAAACATCATTATGGAGTCTGAGAGTCCTTACGAGTTCGAAAGCCGCTGGTCTGAAGTGATGGAGACCACTCGCCTAGGGGATAACGAGTGGTTGTGCAATATGTATGAAATACGAACCCGTTGGATACCAGCATATGTGAGACACATCTTTTCTGCAGGGATGTCTAGCAGTCAGCGATCAGAAAGCAACCATGCATTCTTCAAAAGATACGTGGACAAGAAAAATACGTTGATGGATTTCATCACGAGATTTTCCAATGCCCTGGCACACCAACGACATGGGGAATTGGCTGCAAATCACACTGACTTGAACGAGCAGCCTCGGACGACAACGTCATTTGCAATGGAAGTTCAGATGGCCAGCATCTATACAAAGACAATTTTCCTACGCTTTCAGACAGAGCTTGCACAGAGTACTTATTATCTTTGTTCGAAGACATCAACATACGAGGGTCTCAAAACATATTCTGTCATGCGTTTTGAGAATGGAAAAACGTATGATCGACAACGTGAGGTTCTCCACTACACGATGACTGATATTATAACATGCAGTTGTCGGACTTTTGAGTTCGAAGGATATCCGTGTCGTCACATGCTTTCATTAATGATCAAGAAACAGGTTATGTTGTTACCAGACCACTATATTGTACGTCGATGGACCCAGACTGCAAAAGCAATTCCCGTTTTTGAACCAATTGTCGATCCATCTACTGGTCATTCTTTAATTTCACGACACGGGATGCTGTCGCGCACTGCATCAGAGTTGGTCGACGAGGGAGCCTTGACTGATGCTCGAACCACATTTCTAATGGATGGGTTTCGTGACTTGAAATTACATGTAAAGGATGTCGACGACGGCGGTGATATGCGAATGATTAGGATGAAGAATAAGAATAAAGAAAGTACCCAACATGTGGTTGATCCTGCTCCGGTTAGGACGAAAGGGTGCGGAAAGCGATTGAAGTCGTCGAAGGAGTTAGCCATGTCCCAATCTCGGAGAAATTGTCGTGGATGTGGTCGCAGTGGACATGATAGAAGAACTTGTCCAGCATTACAACCGAGGTGAGTTGATAGATGATATCATGTTTAATCTTAATTTTTTTTCCCAATAATATGTTTAATCCATTTTTTATCCATGTCATCAGGACGCAACTGGTGGACGAGCCATATGAACCACAATACTCGTTGGATGATAATGAAGATAATATGTACACCAACATTGCTAGCAATGACTATGGGGAGTTCCCAGGATTTGACGACGATGACTATCATTAAGTCGCATTTTTATTGTATTCATTTTAATAGTATGTTTATGGTAAGTGAATTTGAATTTATATTTATCTATTTGTTCAAACAACTTTTATTAATTTCATAAGTATGAAGATCACAATAATATCAATTAATGTATAGATAAAAAATTAAACCAATAAATTATTAAAAAAAAATGGAACAAAAAAAATAAAAAATAAAAACTACTTTTAAAAGTAAGGGCTATCGTTGACAGCCCTTACATATAAAAAAAAATTAAAAAAAATAAAATTAAATAAAAGTTGTCTTTGTGTGTCAGCCAAAGAGTTTGGTCTCCTACGCGCAGGTGAGTCCTGCGCGGAGACCAAATTTGTAACTCATGAACATCAGTAACTTAACATTAAAGAGAAAATATTAAAATTGATTAAGGCTAGGTTAAATTTCAACCATAAATCTCAACTCAAATATTTAGCACCTGTTATACAATTGACCACTAGAGAATATTTATAACAGTAAATTACAAGTTTGATAAAACAATGGAGAAAATACAAGATTATAGAAAAAATTCCCTTTTAGGTTGGATTTGTGATTATGATAATGGCTAGCTTTTGATTTCCCCAAAATTTCTTCGATTCCTCGATTGATTTCCCTTTGCGTGCTCTATGGTTTTCTCAAAAATACAATGAAGAATCAAAAGAAAAAAGAGAGAGAATTTGGTTATCATATTCACTCTCCATATCACTGTCATATCAATATTCCGACAGTTCCCATTACCGAAACATTCGCTGTTTTTTCATATCGTCGACTAACTTGATCGTCGGAGTACTCACGACCATTTCCAGTACCATCGAAAAATGCTATAAGTGACCATCTGGGTGTTCTAGTGCACATGGAGGTGTCTACGTGGAGTTGTTAGCTGTTGACCATACACTTTCCGAGGTCAACAAGTTCTTTTGTGGCAGGGAAGATGATTGGGTGTGGAAGAGTCGAGGAATCGGAGTGTTTGATTTGGAAAGTAGGAGTATTGGACCAACTGATTGTTACAATGGTTATTCTGAGATGTTTTGGCCGCCTCCTGCTTGGTTTTGTTCTAATGTGTGTCTACTTAGGATTGCCTTCTTCATCTATGTGAAGTCAATTGTTTTTTGGTGAATTGCTGCTAGTTTAGTCACCACAGACTGTGTGTAGATTTATGAGCAAGCAAACCGATTCTGTCAACCTTTATATGCAAGCTGAGCTTGATCGATTGGCTATTTAATTTTTGAACCAAACTTGGCTACCATGAAGGGTTTGACATCCTTCCTAATAGCTCCCTCACAATAGGAGGGAGGGGCAGAATTTTTTTGCCTTTTTTAATTCATATGGGTCTCACGTGTGTTCCATCACATGTGAGAGGGTGTCAAAATGCATGTCAAATTTTTTCTAATAAACTAGTTTAATCCTTAATTTTTATTGTGCCTTGTAGAGGTAAGGAATAAGAGCCAAACAGATATTTTCGACCATGTGTTCTACATAATTGACAGTTTCAGCAGTAATCCACTTCTGATATTCAGTGTCATGTATTAATCTTATGCTAAAAAAGTAGGGCTAATGAACAGAGTTGCTCCGTCTGATATTCGGTTTCTGTTCATTTTTATACATGAAATGAAATACAATTCTACTTCATTTTCTAATGATTTTAAGCCATTTTGGTATGTGAAGGCAATGTATCCTAAAAGGTGGAAATAACATTAGAGCCAGAACCATCACCAATTACAATTACTATTCAGGCAAATGACAAATGGAATGAATCGTTGAAATGGTTTTCATTTCTGTTCATTCATGTAATTTAATCCGATTAAAGGCCATCGTTAATCCATCTGTGTTCCTTTCTTGGCATGCAGCTCATCTATTTTTATGGCTATGCTCATTCCTTGGCTGCAATTGGGATTCGAAAAATTGTATTTCTTGTTAGCAGTTAGGAGACAGAACTTTCTACATGCCCTTGGAAACATACAATTTAAAGTTAAGAATCAGACAGACAAGAATGCGATACCAGTGTCAATTCTGTCCATCCAATCTACAACGGCTATAAGTATGAGTAATTTACATATACAGAGAATTTCCTTGGTATCTAGACAATTTAAATGGGATTAACAGATCCATCTGCTGATTCAAGTACAGGAAGAATAATTGCATATTAATCCATAAATTGAGACTCATAAATGCATAATTTTAATTACATAAAATGAAATAATACCAGCATAAGTCAACACTAACTATATTCCATGGTCAAAATTATAAGCAGAAAATACCTATGCTAAAATATACATGGTAATATGGACTGACCATTTCCGGATGTCAGTCACGCTCTGGGGCATCCCAAGAAACTCTTCTAGCACTGAGATTTCCAGCATATGACAATACTTTATCCCAATCGGTAGGCACAACTTGGTCAAATTTATGGCTCGGTGTTGCTGCCTTTACACTATCCTTGCGTAGAGGGGAAACAGACCTCCTTGGGCTACTGGCTAGTGGTGGAGATGAACAAGATGTTGGAGTTGCAAAAGGAGAGGTATATGGGGTGCGTTGAATTGAAAAGGGACTCGGTGAAATCTTCTTCTGAATTGGAAGTCCATTCATACTTCGGTTGAAAATTGAAAGAGACTCAGCTGCAGCACATCGTTTGGTTGCATCGTCTACATACAAAACATCATCGATCCTAGCCATTATGTTGAACGCCAAGCTCTCCATTACCCTTGAATAGCTTTCTAGAATTGACTGCCCAACATCCTGCAGAAGAAAACAAAAATTTTTATACAACTTTTGTGGCAAAGAGTGTTAAGTCAAAATTATTATTGGCAATTTCGAAATTTGTAATTGGCAATTTCTTAGCCAAAATCATGTCCTAATTGAATTGTATTAAAAGTTTATCAAATTGTAACCAGAGTCAAAATAGGAGGTATCGAGTCCTAATTATAGCAAAAGAGTTGAAATTGATAGTGTAGATCTTGAAGAAGTTCAAGATGTCTAAGATCACATATGTTTACAGGAATACATATGTTATATTTCAAATTCTCAGTTGCAACTCGAAATGCATTTTTCACATAGAAAGTATTGGAATTTGGATAAGGCTTTATCTAGAAGAATTGTAGCCCTCTGAGTTATTTTCCAATACATTTTGAATCACCTCAGTCGGACATGAGGAGAGAAAGTTATGATAAAAATACAGACGATTGCTAAGATTCCATTCGCATGTCGCTGAAGCGACGAGTTGACGTCCAGGATTCTATTTTGCTGCAAACACTTGGTTTTTCAATCCCTTTTCATTCCAAACACTTTCCCCTATATATACATATATATATATCATATCCTACGGACGTCCAAAAGTGTGTTGAATCAGATTTATTCCATAGAGATCAATTATTTGATAAAACAAAACATTCATTGATTCCAAGATTCAACCACCAAATATCACTTGACGAAGAGATATTATTTCATATTAAACCACATATCAAAACACATGATATCCTCTAACCAAATACCAAACCATCTAATCCACCGGATATAAATCGATACTAGGGATCAGGAGTCGTTGTAGAAGTACAAATTTAGGAGGACTAAGGTGAGGTACCAGTAGTCGAGATCTGGTGTCGGAGCACGTAGTCCACGAAGACTAAGGTATAAACAAGTCAGGATTTGTTTCGAAGGAACACACTTCCAATAGGATAAAGGGAGACCGGAGGAATTGAGGTCAGAAGTTCGAGGTAGACAAGTCTGGACCCTACTGCAAGTTTGCTTCGATTTATAGTGGATTATTGATCGGCAAAGTGCTCAAAGTTTTTACCCAATTGGAATTTCTCCGTGATCATCTTTAGTGTTCTTTACTACTTTAATTAATTGTGGTATTCAAACTTACGATAAATTGAATTATTTGATCTAACCATTTAGAAACAATGAAAAATTCACTTCTTGCTTTTAATTATATAATTCCACACGTTGAGTCTAAATATTTGGCAATTTAAAACTTTCAAGCGATATCAAAGCCCAATAGCGATCTTTGACCCAAAATTTTGTCTAGATGAGTCAATCATATTTCGATATAAGATTTGAGGATTGTAGGGACATCTATGAGACATTTGACAAATTGTTTGAGGAGTGCCTTAAGTTGAAAAAGGTGAATAGCTCTGCCTTTAAGACATTGCATAAACTTGAATAAGAAAATGAGAGTTTAGAGGTAAAACTTAAGGAGTCGATTCGTTGATTAAATGAATTAAGGATTGAGAAAGAGTACTTAGAAATTAAAGTTAAATCTCTTATATTTGATCTTGAAAAATCGAATGCCCAATTTCAATCATTCTCCAGTGGATTATTGACTAGCCAAGTGCCAGGAGATTTTACCCAGTTCAGGTTTCTCCGTGATCATTTTTGGTGTTCTTTATTGTTTTAATTATTGATTGTGGTATTCCAAACTTAAGATAAATTGATTTGTTTGATTTAACCATTTAGAAACAATTTAAAAGTGACTTGTTGCTTTTAATTATATAATTCCACACGTTGGGTCTAAATAATCGGTAATTTAAAACTTTCAAAGAGGATGTTCATGCACCTTGAATTCAAAAAACATGGTAATAGAATAAAAAATATTTTCGATAACCATTATAAGCATTCAAATATTAAAAAGCAACATACGATAATTACCTTGTTATACTGGATCTTGTTCATTTCTAGTGCAGTTTGTGGAAGACTGGGAAACCGAATTCTTAGGCTATGCAATAAGGTTTCAGCTCGCTGTGCAAGGAATTGGTTCTTTTCACAATCGACAACCAGGCCCTTCATCTTACCACCCCATGTCTTGCCCTTAGCTTTCTTACGGTTTGGCTCTTTCTTTCTTTCTTTCAGCTTCCATACGAGCACAGCTGCCTCAATTCTGTTCACCACATTTAGTGTGTGATGCTCGGATGACAAATCAAGGCAATCAAGAAGACATCCTGGTGAGAATTGATCAGCAGTTATGTATCGGTAGATGACATCACCCAAACAATCTCTTCCATTCTGGAGCGGCAAATGGAAAATAAATGAGAAAAGTTATATCAAGAGATAACAGTAAAATAAAATTCAAGAATCTCCAAGATTTTATATACAAATGTTAGCATAAACACATGTTTCTGTCTGAATTCAAATATAGGATGTTATAGAAGATTTGTTGAAACAAAATATTGGTCTTCTCTTTATCAAATCAAAACTCCTCTAAAGCTAATCGACCAAGATTCCTCACGTGATTTTGGCAGTGTGTTTCCAACTCATATCCAAAATGAAAGGAAAGAGTTACCAAAACTTAGTCCATCACAAACCACAAAGTCTTCCAACATCAAGTAGGCATGTGACATCTATCTTTTACAAAACAAAAATCCCCTTCAAACTTCACGAGTTGAAGATTAATCGACATGATATAATTAATCATTGTATGGCTGGATTGATGGCATTGCAGACAACATATGTAATCTTATGGCAGAAAATACCAACCAAACAAATATGATATAGAATCAGATTTTGAACTTTTATAAGGACGTTGCAAGGGCAGAGCCATTCATGTGCCAGCCATTTAATAGTATAAATATGCCAAGCTGTTCCTCAAAACATTTCGTTTAACAAGATAACAACAAATAGAAAGAACTGAAAAAAATGTATTTACCATACAATTCTACTCTTACAATTTCCAAGCTTTAGACTCCTCTACCGAAATGTTCTTTGCAGATAGCATCTGCATTAAAGGTTTTACAGTTATAAGGATCATTGGTTAGCGTCCAATTTCATGTCGAAAATGATCAATTAGTTTTTCTCTATGAAATTTCATTCCATCTTTCGGTAGCGAACAAAATCACTGTGAAACCCTATCCCACGGTTCCTGTACCTACCAAAAGGTTTGAAGGGGCTAATAACTGCAATTTCTCTGTGCTTGAACCTTCAAATTGGGTATGATATGTTACCAAAAAATTGTCAGAAATGATCCATACATGTATAAGAATGATATTGCAAACAAATATATGTGAATCCAACATTAGTTGGTAAGATAAGCAAGAACAAAATAAAAATGAAAAGATTGCTTATTGCTGCCTTGCTTGGTTAGAATTACTAGAAAAATTACAAAAGAATCATTATGCCTTTAATTACAAGACAAGAAGATCCAACCATCAAAGGATAAAATGCTATCCTAAGTGTGATCTAAAAATTCTAGTAGTGTGACTCCCACAAGCAAAATGCACATCATGTTCACAAGAAAGGGAAATGGTGTAAAAGCAAGAAGGAAAAATTACCTTTGGCAAGGTTTTCAAATAGGCATCTGGTATATCCATCTCAGCAAGAACGTTGCTATTTATGGCCAAGGCAGCCTTCAGTATCTGGTTTGTGCAACTGCGGCACTGCTGAAGCCTCTTTCTCATATCATCTGACAATCCCTTTGTAGCAACTTTTGGGTATGGTAGCCACCACTTCTCTTCCTGTCTAATAGAAGGCCTACCACCAGAAACCTCAGACGAATACTTCTCAGACTCATCCACAATTATTCCGCGGTCAACATACCAAAACTCAGTATCCTGAAAGCCATCTAGAATTCTTATCAACATAGCATCAAGTTTCTTGAGTGCTGGTAAATTCATATATAAATCCGAACGTGGCCTTGTTGCCATTACTTCATATGTCCCCCCTCCAGGAAATGGCTGCATGGAAGGCACTAGTTCCACAATTGAATCACTAACAGATAACAGCCATTCCTTCTCCCTGCACCACATTGTCTTCTTCTGTGGTGCCAGTGGCTCCAACCTCCACAATTCGCCAAATACAGTAGCTAAACCCAAAAAATTCCAAACAAATGAATTTAGACCACACATTCAGACCTTATTTTGCCTACTCAGACATACACGGGCATATATACTATATACAGTGACTTACCAGAGAGATTAGTAATGGCATTTGAGATGGCAAGCGCAGTACAAACTCCTTTGCCTCCTCCAGACATGTCTTCACCAAGTAGAAGCTTAGCAAATCTTTCCTTCATCATCTCAATTTCTAAGAGTGAACGGAAAATGAGAAAATGTATGATTAACTATACATTAATAAAAAATGCCTATATGAATTTGTAAACCACTCATTCTCTGAAATAGTCTGACGAGTTATTCAACTAAATAAATCCCTAATATATTAATAAATTTACTCTATACACACAAATCTATTCGCTAAAATGTATAAACAATAAATGAACGAAAAATTGCAAACATAGATATAAAAGGTAAAAGATTATTTGTAAGCAGACGAAACAAATCATGTGGAGTAACTGAATACAAAGTAAGATTATTTTTTTAGTATTCAATAAAAATGCCAGAAATTTATAATCCTCAGAATAAAATTATTCGGAATCAAGGCTTCACTAACAATACTATAATATCTAACCAGATATTAACCTGACAAATCGACGGCGCATTTCTGCGGCTTCTCATCCCAGACTACCACATCCTTCCCGCCAAACACCGGGAACATAAAAGGCGGCACAATCGGCGCCGGAATCCCCGAGCTAGCAACGGCTGAGATCGGCGACGAGTCTATAGAACTCGAAGCGCTTCCATTTTCCTCCTCCACCTTGTACAGCCGACACGTTAAGCCACTACTGGAGAACTCCGATTCGCTAATGTCAGCACTCGAACTATAGCTTCCACATCTCTCTTCACTCTGCTGATCAGAACCATCCTCTGACGTCACACTCCTCATTCTCACACCAATGAGCTATAACAGAAGCTTGATTTGTAAATACAGAGATCTAAGTCTAAGACGTGACAATTTGAGCAGAAAAAGAAATACTAAACGTGGCGGTGAATTTGCTTCAGATAAGAGCAGTGGCTATGGAATGGTGGTGGAGACGGAGGACAGTAGAAAAGAAAAAGCTGACAATTAAAAAGCAAAATGCAGAATTACTCCTCACCAAACTCTTTCGACTTCTCTCTCTAAAAGTAAATGTATGTATATGTAGGTGACACGGGTGTTTGGCCGTGGAAAAGTACAAGTTGACGGCGTTACGGGAGGGGTTATGTTTTCTAAAAGATTTGACGGTTGGATTACTCGCGAAAAGACGACGTTAGTAGTAGGTGTTTGTCACTGAGGACGAAATGACGTCGTTTTGTTGTTGGATTTTACAATATTGCTTCATTTGGACTTTCTTTATCATTAACTAACAGAAACCCAAAAAATCACTGGTATCAATAATTGTGAAGATAAACGTGACTAAAATTGCTATATGATTAGAGCATTCGAAAAGATTCATTATTTATACTGATAGTCCTCTTGATCATAACTTTGATTATCATGTATTCTCGAAAAGTCTTTCAGAATCTTTTGACAGTCATAGCGTTACCATATCTCGTCACTTTGATTTTTTCTACATATTCGATGGCGATTTTCTCTTCACTCTCTGCCTCGAAACTGATCCATGACACAGCGCCCGATCACTTCGCTAAGGGAAGGCAACTAAGTGTGTTGTATCCAATAACTTGGGCACGGGTAGTTTATTACTTCTTATATGGAAGTAGAGGTAAATTAATTAAGAACATGGAGCATTTTTAAATTTAGAGATACATCCAACAATTTTTTTTATTTTTAAATATATTTCTAGATGTCAATAATTTAATATTCAATATAATATAAATAACTTGGAGTGAAACTTGTAATTCTATTAGATACAACCATTATAAAATAAAAATAAAAAATAAGTTTGATTTTTATTCGTTTACTAATATACCCTTATTTAATTTATCTAGATATAACCAATTTTTCTTATTTAATCTTAAAATTGTACAAATATAAAGATACTTCTTGAAAATTAAATCATTCAATTTCTTTACTACATCTAATAATAATTTACTACTAGTTGTTGATAATTAAATAAAGGTAAATATGAAAATTTTTGACAAAAATTGTCTTTTTAAAAATATTAAATAAGATTTCTTAATTCATGTAAAAACTATATAAATGGGACGCATGTGGTAAAATAAAATAGTCTATTAAAGATTATTTTCAAAGTTTATCTCTTTAAAATAAGAATGTCTTATTTTTGATAGTTAATTTGATGGATCTGTTTCAACTTTCAGTTATCACAACAAGCGGTAGCTGAGAAGGAATGTGTAGGGAACTGCGTGTAAATTAACCCAATAACTATAAGCGGCCATTCTTTTGATGAGAAAGTTGAGATATTGTTTCATTGTAAGATAGATTTTTAATTTTGTTATTCATTGAAATAAGAATTCAAAATATAAAGTTCGTGTTTGGTGTAGATAAAAAATACTAAAGATTTTAAATCAAAATCAACAATTAATTTTAATCATATATTTTAATGTGATTCGCAACTTTTCAAATGTACATTTCATCAATTTTTAGTAAAATCTACTAAAATTTTAATTTTAATTTACACCAAAGATGGGCAAAGTTTTGAATCTTTATTTTATTAATTTACAAAGAAGAGCTCATTAAATTTTTTGAGAATTGATTTTGCAAAAAGTGAATTCTTTGAATTAAAAAGTCAAAAATTTTATTGATTTACGTGTAAAATTGTATTTATTAAGAGAATGTATGATTGAAAATGGTTTTAAAAAATAATTTTTAATTTTTTGAGAATTCATTTTGTGGAAAGTGAAAAGTCTGAAAAATTTATGGACATTTTGTTAATATTTCTCTATTTGATGTACATTAAATTCCCATTTTTAAGGAGATTTCAATATTTTCAACAGTGTTTATAATTTAAAATTTTTTGCAACAAGGGCATGGTTAGGGGTGTCGATGAGCCGAGTCGAAACTATTTGCTCGGACTCGGTTCGAGTAAAAATACTTTTAGCTTTTTTTTGCCCGAGCCAAGCAAAAAATTTAGGCTCAACCCAAGTTTTTCTTAATTCATGACAAATCTAAAAAAAATTAAAGAATTTAAAATCTGTACAATTTATACGTATTATAAATAATAACTAAATATTAACATATAAAAAAATTTAAAAAAAGAAGTTGCAAACAAGTTTGTTTTTTTTTTTTTAAGGTTCACAAGCCAGCCCGGCTTTTGAGGCGTCAGCCCCACCGAGCCATAAGCAAGTCCGACTCGAGCTTTTTCTGAGCCAAGGCCAAGCGGCGAGCCATTTTGCCATTCTTAGGCATGGGAGATCTATGACAGTGACTAAGCACCAGTTAAAAAGTTATGCGTCCATTTTTGCCCTCATTTTGAAAGTTTAAATTACAATTATGTCCTTCAAGCATTCTCCTCCAAATATCAAAATATTAGGGGGGGGAGGTAAAATTGGAATAACAAAAATTACCTATGAAATAAGAATTATACTAAGTGTAAATGTCATGGGTTAGTTCTTGGTGTACGTTGTGTATGAATTCATAAAGTGTTGGGCGGAAAAGTTTTTTTAAAATCATTCAATTATGTGCTGTCACGTAACACAATATCAAAAATGTACATGTAGCATGATTGATTAAACAAGTTGTATTGAAAGGCAATACATTTGTTATCTCATCTCACAAGAATCAATCTATTCAATCAAATCGAGCCCACAAAAAATGTTGGAGAAAATTAGTTTTTTTTTTTTTTTCATCAGAGGCAAAACGTACGGTTGAAACGGGTTTTAAAAAAATAATTGTGAGAAAATCAGATAAACAAGGGCTTATTTGGAGTAGGTACGTAGTGCTTACAATCATTCTACTTTTCTTTTTAATAAACAAGTGATTCTAAGGAAATATTTTTATATTTAACGTTGTCCCCAAAAAAAAAGTGTGCTTTATTATTCCTGTTTGGCTCATTAAAATTATAATTCATTTTTCTCTTTCTTCTTATCAACCATATATTTTTAAATAAAATAATATTACAAATAATTCAAAAACTTTTTCTTCTTTTTTAACCTTACATATTAAAAAAAAAAGAAAACACAATTACAACCATTAAAGTTTTAAATAATGGGGACCAAACGTTATGTGCTGAAATAGTTATTGTACCACGATTCCATGTCACCATAGAAGGGCACATTGCATGCAACACATATCACAAAAGGAATATTTTTACATCAGCATCTGAAGCTTGTCGAACAAAAACTACACCCCTACCTCTAAAGCTCTCCCTATCAAGCGAGCGCGACCCTCAATCACTTAGATAAAATAAAATTGGAAGCCTCACCCAAACAGCAATATTAAAGGCCTTGGCTCGACATTGAACAAGATGCCACTTAAGCGTTAAACACTATTACAATCATATCAACATGAATGTCAATGTAATAAAATCATTCTTGTTCATAACGAGTTATATGACTAATGTTACGAAAGCACGAACTTGAACAAGAATATTGAAACTTGGACTTAATCATGACTTATATCATAATGATGAGAAAATGTCAACTCATAAAATGAAAAAAAAATCTCTTTAAAAATTGTTTATAAATATAGTCACGTGTACAACTCATAAATGGTTGAAAATTAAAAGGGGAGAAATAAAAAGGTTAAAAGTCCAATGATCCAATCTTCCACTTTTTAATAGGATGCCTTGAATCAACACAAAATCTAGGGTCGACACTCTTGAGTTAAAATTTTAACATTCTCCAAATTAAATGCGTTTTCTAGTCAAAATAATGTTGAAAACTTCTTTTTTCGTTCATTCTACAAAAACCTTCCGAAATTCTGGGAGGAAACTTACAATGACTTTAAAAATATTATCTAATTTTTGATGTCAAATAGTTTGGCTCCATCTGTTGGAGTGACTAACTCCTGAAAATTAGGAAGCGTTGAAAGCAAAGACGAGTTCTCATTTCTATCCAGTCCCAACATGCTTGATGTTAAGAAATGATTTCTTGTAGGATGGTTAGGGTGGAGATTTCTTATAAAAGAACTAGAGTTCAAGATGAGAATATTTTCGTCTTTTTTGATTTCATATACTTACAAAAACAATGAAAAGGACTTACATGGGGAACAAAAATGCCAGGTAATATGAGTTGAAGCGGATCAAACAATGATGAAAGCCTAGGAAGCGGGATGAAGGTCCCTTTGTTCTAGAAGAATCTTGCCACAAATGAAGAAACAAGAAAGCAAAAAGACTAGCGACGTTAAGTTGAATTGTAGCCAATATGTTCACCAATATGCAGCATTTTGCTTAAGTTAATGCAGCCATACGACAATTCATGATGTAATAAAGTCAGGTAACTGCGCCTCCCCAAAAGGATGAAAGTGATAGTAGGGTTGGAGGCTCGAGACAAATAGAGCAAGTATCCCATTTTTCTCACCGAGCAGCTACTCGCCTATTGACCCACAACACATGGAGAGACAAGCGCTCCACCGTGAGCTAAAGTGGAGACCTTTATAGTCCATCAATATCTCCAACAAGGCGACAGTCATTAAGTCCGTCTAGTGAATATTCAATGTGGACCTTAGAAAATTAAAGGACATCTCCAAGTGGGTGGCTCATATGTATCACACGCTCGACACACATGTTTTGGCAATTTACAAAATGAAAATTTAATACTATCATTATTATGTGTGAAATGGATTTTTCCGTCAACTAATTGGTGATTTCACGACAATTATAAATGATGATAAATTAGTAGGTACCAATCTTCGCACCCAAGCTATCGCCAATCTCAATATATCCGATCGGATCACAACAACTATCACACCTTGAGATATTCAGACATGTCCTCACCTTAGATATAGAAGATTAGTCTTTAGAGAAATGTGTTAGGAATTTTGTTGGA